TTGAGGTAGGCCTGTAGAGCTATGATCTTCCCTCTCAGGGCTGCTTTCATTGTGTCCCATAGATTTTGGAATGTTGTGTTTTCATTGTCATTTGTTTCCAGGATGTTTTTTATTTCTTCTTTGATCTCTTTGGTAACCCAATCATTGTTTAATAGCATGCTATTTAGTCTCCAAGTGTTTGATTTTTTTTCATTGTTTTTATTGTAGTTGATTTCTAATTTAATGCCATTGTGATCTGAGCAGATGCTTGATATGATTTCTACTGGAATTTGAAGAGAATTTTTCTGTGTCCTAATATGTGGTCTATTTTTTAAAATATCAGGTGTTCACTTGGAAAGAATGTATAATCTGTAACTTTGGGATGAAATGTTCTGAAGATGTCAATTAGTTCCATCGGATCTAGTGAGTCATTTAGGATTGTTGTTTCTTTGCTGATTTTTTGTTTAAAGGATTTCTCCAGTGATGTCAATAGCATTAAAGTCACCTACTATAATTGCATTGCTGTAGGTCTCTCCCTTAATATCTTCCAGAAGTTTTTCTTTATGTATTAGGGTGCTCCTGTTTTGGATACATAGATGTTTCCCAGAGTTATATCCTCTTGTTGAAATGCTCCCTTTAGTATTATGAAGTGGCTCTCCTTATCTCTTGTTATGGCCTTCACTTTGAAGGCCATAACTTTGAGGTCTATTTTGTCAGATATAAGTATTGCTACCCCAGCTTTATTTTCATTTCCTTTTGCCTGAAACATTTTTTTTCCATCCCTTCACTAACAGTCTGTGTGAGTCCTTTGTTCTGAGGTGGGTCTCTTATAGACAGCAAATATATGTGTCATGTTTTCTTATCCACTCAGCTACCCTATGTCTTTGGATTAGAGCATTTAATCCATTTACATTAATGGTTATTATTGACTAAAGGCCCAGTGCACTAAATTTGTGCACGGGGAGGGGGTGGCGGGGGGCGGGGGGGAGGGAGTCCCTCAGCCCAACCTGCACCCTCTCCAATCCGGGAGTCCAGAAGTTGTGTCCCCATTTTTGGCATCTCTGGTAGGTAGGGCAAGGCTGGCGTCTCCACCGAACCCAGAGAAGTTAAGGGGTGGAGGAGAGAGAATGGGTGAAGAGAGAGAGGGAGAGAGAGAAACAGTAGTCATATATATGTCAGAGAGAGAATGTATATGTGTCTATAGAGAAACAATAGTTGTATATGTATCTATGAGAGAGAGAAACAGAATAGTTGTGTATGTGTCTATGAGAGAGAGAGAGGATCTGAAAGCTAGGGTTCTGGAAGTGTTTCTGTGTAAGAAATGGGGAGAGAAAAAGATTGAAAAGAAGGGGAAAAAGGGGAGACAGACCTCACCTTCCACTTAGGGGACCCCTTCTCCTTGCCATGTAGTCAGCAAAGCCAGCACTGAGTCGGCTAGGGTAGGGAGACCCCATTTGCCCTTCTCCATCTTGTGTTTCTCCTGTGTCTGGGGCGTGTCCTCTGGAAGCCTTTGTCCTCTCGTCAAGAGTCACCTCATGAGCCCCCACCCTGTGGCCCTGAGGGATGAGATCAGTTGGAAGTGTCAGAATGAATGTTCTCTTGTCCTTCTGTTGGTGCCATCACTGAGGATGGGGTCACAGCCTCCTGCCAGCCACTCTTTGCCCTCATTTCCCGAGGGCTGTCCATCTGGCCTCCCCGAGGTTGTCTCTGTAGCCCCTGGGCCCATCGAGTGTCGGAGTGATTCCACCTGGGAAGCAGGATAGGGATCTCCATTGAGCCCAGGCATCCCCAGAAACTGAAAGTTTGAAAGAGCCGCCAGAGCCTGCGGAAGAAGGGGGTGCCTGGGAGCTGGTGTGGCTGTGGCCCCCCTGTGTGACAGACACAGCGGTCTTGACAGCATAGATGTTTGCCTCCTCTTGAAACTTTCTGATATTTTTATTATAGTGAATCTGCTTGTTGCCAAACCAGTTGGAGACCTAAGAGATGGTAATGCCACACTTCTTGGCAAGCTCCTCCTTAGCTTCCTCACTGAGATATGGGTTACTCAGGTGGAAATAGAAATACTCATTTAGGACCTCAGTGGCCTGTTTGCTGAAGTTCTGGCATTTCCATCTGGCATCCAGGACCGGGAGCACAGGATCACGACGGCCTTGCAGGTGGGCACTTCCACTGGGGGCCGCTCCTGTGTCGTCCCTGACTGGTAGTGACTAATTAGCATATCAGGGCTAATTAGCATATTCCTCTCTTATATAGGATAGGCAGTTGTTTGTTGCCATTTTTATTCTTTATGCCTGTGTTCCTTCTTCCCTTTCTATTTCTTCTTTTTAAAGCAGTCCCTTTAGCATTTCTTGCATAGCTGGCTTGGTGGTAAAAAACTCCCTTAACATTTTTTTTTTCATCTGTGGAGAAAGAGATGAAATTTCCCCTTCAATTTTGAATGATAACCTTCTGGGTGTAGTATTCTTGGAATCAGACTCTTGCTTTGCATGACTTTGTATATTTCATTCCATTCCCTTCTGGCCTGATGTGTTTCTGTTGAAAAGTCAGTTGATAGTCTAATTGGCGATCTCTTGTAGGTAACTTTCTGTCTCTCTCTGTCAGACTTTAAGATTCTTACTTTTTCATTGATGTTTGCCAATTTAATTATGATGTGTCTTGATGTTGGTCTTTTGGGGTTCATCTTGGTTGGAACTCTGTGTCCTTCTTAGACTTATGTGACTTTTTTCTTCCCTAAGTCAGGGAAGTGTTCTGTCATTATTTCTTCAAACAGGTTTTCTATTTCTTGGTCTGCTTCCTCTTCTTCTGGCACCCGTATTATGTGGATATTGTTTTGTTTTGTGTTGTTCCAAAGCTCCCTTAGGCTCTCTTCCTGCCTTTGAAGGTTTTTTCCCAGTTGCTGCTCTGCTGGGGTGTTTTTTCTATCTTATCTTCTAACTCACTGATTTGGTTCTCCGCTTCTTCTAGTCTACTGTTGAAACTTTCCATTCTGTTCTTTATTGTAATTATACCATTCTTTACTTCCTCTTGATTCTTCTTGATTTTCTCTTAATTCTTATAATGTTGTTAAATTTGTCTTCCATCCTTTTTAGCATCCTTATACCCATTGCTCTGAATTCTTTCTCTGTCAAATTTCTTGCCTCCATTTCATTTATTTCCTTTTCTGGCGATTCCTTCTTTTTGTTCATATGGGGTTTGTTTCTGTGTTTCCCTATTTGTGCTGTTCCTTTGTGGTTGTTTCTATGCATTAGATCAAACTTCTTTGCCAATGAGATTTTTTGAGTTTGTCTTATATAGTAGATATTTTGCATTTTACCACAATTTTAAAAATATCTTAGTATGTACTTGATTTAGTGGCAAAACATCCCATACTCTGTTTTGACTTTCTATTTAAACTTCAGTGAATTGATGATTCTTTATTGCATAGATTTAACCCTATTTGTGATTTCTCTCTTCTTTTATATTCTAACTAGAGGCCCGCTGCATGAATTCATGCACAGGTGGGGTCCCTCGGCCTGGTCGGCAATCAGGGTTGATTGGGGCTGGCCAGTAGGGGTGGAGGGGTCGCGGGAGGTTGGCTGGCTGTGGGAGGTTGGCTGTGGGAGTGCACTGACCACTAGGGGGCAGTTCCTGCATTGAGTGTCTGGTGGTTATTGCATATCATAGCTACTGCTTGACCGGTTGTTCCTATTGTTATGGTCATTCAGTCATAATAGTCACTTAGGCTTTTATATATATACTACAGGCCTGTTGCATGGATTCGTACAATAGGCCTTCTTTCCCCTGGCTTCCAGCACCAGTTTTTCTCTGGCACCCAGGACCCAAACCTTCACTCTGGCCACTGCCTTCCATCTTCACTCTGGACACAGTCTTCGCTGTGGCTGGAGACTTCAGTCTTTGCTCCTCGCTCCTGTGAGAGTCTTCAGTCTCTGGCCAGAGCTGCTCCTGTAGCTCCTTCCACCCCCCACCCTCCCCCTCATAGCTTGATCGCTGCTTCTCCTGCAAACCTCGCCGACAGATTCCTGGGTTCCAGGGTGCCGCCTTGCCTGCGGCCCGTCTTCTGATCACAATCACGGCCGCAGGGTCCCGCTGCCCAGGGCTGCACATGGGGGCTGGATGGCAGCTCGTGCTGGCCCACCCTGCCTGCAATATGCTAATTGGTGGTTAATTTGTATATCACACTGATTAGCCAATGGGAGGCGTAGCTTAGGTACGGTCAATTACCATGTTTGTTTATTATTTGATAGGATAGATTCCTCAATTTCCAAGGAAGGGTGAAGCAAATGTCTTATTAGCACAATTCTGCTATGATTTTCATTTATTATTTATCTCAAATAATTATTCCCTAAAAATGAAAAACTTATTAGGAGATTATAAGTATTAACAAATATAGGTAGGTGTAATTATTATTACTCAATCTCTTCACACACCCTACATACCCACATAAAATGATAGCACCAACTTGCCTGTTATTTCAACTGTGCACCCCAGGTGAGTGTGGGGAGCCATGGCTGGTGAGTCTTTTCTAATCTGAGAGTTCATGGGGAAGAAATAGTTTGGGAAAAGGCTGACTTCCTCATTAGGGTTGCTGAAGGTTTATGTGAGCAACGTAAACCTAAAAGGTTTATGTGGTGAGGGGATAGAAGGAGGAAGAGAAGGAGCTCAGACTGCCTTTCACAGTATTTTTGACATAAGCAGTAAAGGTCAGGAAGAATCTGGAATTCTGTTGGTATTTTGCTAGTCTTATCTGAATTTGAAACTGTGAGTCACCTGGGCATGGGATGCATATCAGCAGACCTCTTTGGAATTTAAGAAATGGGAGTGTGTCAGAGCAGAATGACCTCTGATTTTCAGGAATTTAACAGAAATTCATGAAATCAACTCTCTCGTGTTACTCAGTGACCATATGCAGGTAATGCTAGAATCAGAAAGAATCATATTGAGTAGATGCTGCAAGATTCAAAGATCATTCCTCAACACTGATGAGCCCCATGGAGTGAAATGTTTGGTTGAATAAGATTGAAATGATTGCTTCCTTGTTGGTGAGTGGAGAGGAAAATTGGGCTGTGTTCATTGCTTATGGAATCTTTGTTTCAAATAGACTGAGTCTTGATTCAGAAGAGGAGGCTGTTTATTCATTCAGTGGGCCATGGTACAAAGTGATTAGCCAGGGGGAGATGAACAAAGTGAGAGATGAAAAGGACACTGTCATGGTTAAGGCCCCAGTGTTGATTGACCTTATTATTGGGAAAGGATGCTGGGCCTGCCATAAGAGTATTACACATCTCAGTGAAGAGCATCAACCTGCATTAAAGATCGGGCTGCACTAAGGTAAGGGCCAATCATTCAACCTAAAGTCCTACTAGTCCCTGTATCTTGAGTCAGGTATCCGCTATTTTCATTTGTCTTGTCAATTTAGAATGAGTTTCCTATCATCTTAGCCTCAGACCCTATTTCTATGTGACCCTACTGCATGATCTCTTGTCTCTAAAGAAACAATAAGCTCTTTTTCTACCTATAACTTTGCTCTTACCTCATCTTTCTATTAATGTGCTTTTCACAATATGAAGTGATGGTGGAGTTGTCAGGGAGCAAATTGAGTATCAATTAAGTGTGCATTAAATAATTACATTTGCATTAAATTACACTAGTCAACTTCTTTGCTTGTTATTTTGTGCAGTATTGTCTACTTGCATATGCCAGTCTGTGGGTGGTCCCCTGAGGGCTACCCTCTATATTACCAGTCTTCCTAAGACCCCAGTTCCAGGTACTGATATCTGAGCTGGTCCATTCTTATAATCCTTTGCTCCCTCCTCAGAGTGAAGATGACTTCTCTGGTGAACTACCAGTACTAGAATACCAGCACTTCCCCAAGCCACTTCAGAGGGAGAAGCTGTTAGTTATGGTGGAAGAAAACAAAGTCTGTTTCTATCACAGATGATTAATGTCTCCAGTGGTCATTTATTTTTGGTAAATCTCTCACTCATTTCAAGTTGCTTGTTTCTTATTCCTCCCTTCCCCATCCCAACCAATGATAATCCATCATTAACAATGAAGGCCATGGACTATTGTAATCTAATTGAGAATGCCCCTTGTCCTCTATTTGTTTGTTGTTCCATTCCCTTACAATGCCATAGACCCACCTACACCTCACTTTAAGTTCTGCCAGGATGGGGAACAAATGAAACCCTGAGTCAGAATCTTCAAATGCATTGACTCTATAATGCACTCATCTTCTTGCTAGTTTTTCAGCACCAGATCTATGACAACTAGCCAATGTAATAAACAAGACTTCTTGCTGGAACAACACTAGGGGAAAACCCATGGATAGATATTCCATTGCTAGAAACCAAGCTTCCTTAAGAAATGTTCATGAAAGTTCTGATAGTAAACACAGCCTTTCTAGCCCAAATGTGCAGGGTGGAACTAGCTGTGGCTTGGTACCCAAGGAATGAAGATTTGTGGAGTCACCATAGCATCACGGCATGCCATGTCTCTGCACCCTTCAGAGCATGTAAGTGGCCATTCATTTTGCCTAAGCTGTATTTTCTTGTGCATATAGTAATAAATAGTGAAGTATTACTGATACCACTGTAATGTAACCCCTTTATTAAGTAACTGGAAAGGAGTAAAGGGAAGGCCAAAAATTATAGACATGTCATTTGGGCAGCTTTGCCAGGAAACTTCAGTTTAACACTCCCCAGAGACTGGATGAAGAGAAAATAAGCACATGCCGATTAAAGTCTGGGTGACATAGGGAAGCTACTTTTCTGTCAGTTGCACCTGGAGCAGGTCATTGGCCAGAGTAGGCATGGCTACTGTCAACCTGGGAAGATTTGAGATACTTAAACTCCTAAACAAAGGAGCTTGCTCTCTCGCTCTCTTGGTTCTCTTAGGATTCTTGTTGCAGGGGGTGTACTGGTCTGGCTCCCTGTATTCACCCACATGGCCCACAGCCATGTTGACCCTACACAATGGACTGCAACTAGATTCATACTAAACTGAACCCAATTTCACCATAGAAAGGAACATTTGGACACTGGCTTTGCTTCTAGCCCTTCTGAATTAAACTAATCTGGGCACGTATTCAGATCCACCTTAGCCTCATCCTTGATATTAGATGTGTGGTTATATGTATAATTAATCTTAGCTACAAATTTTTATCTGTGAAGTGAGTTAATACTACCAAGCTCACAGTGTAGTAAGGATTACATAAGATGATATATGTAGTAAATTAATAGTGCTTTCCACACAGAGAGTACTCAGTAAAATGATGATGATGATGATGATGATGGTGATGATGATCTTAAGGGTCTCAATTTAGATGCTCCTGAGAGCAGAGGCAGAGTTGGGGACTTGCATGGAGGTAGCTTATTTAGAAGAGGTTCCCCAGGAAGCAGTGGTGAGTGAGGAAGAAAAATCACTCTCCAAAATTTCATTAATGAATTCATTACAGTTCCTAGCAACCGGATTTCAATTTTCCGGGGATCCTCAAAAATTGTGTACAATCTATCTTTCTAGAAGATGGAGAATTGGGGGTGAGAGCATTTATCAAATGACTACTTCCCTCCTATGGTTGAAGCTTGCCCCCAGGGCTGGGCCCTTACCCGAGCCTAATTTTCTGGGTGTCCGTGCTCACAGCTGAGCAGCCCTCATTACTTTGGTGAACATCCCCAGGAAGAAAAGCAAAAAGAGCCTGAGGCACAGGTGCTTGATGTGGGACACTGGCCACATACAGGGACTACTCTCAGGTGGGCTAATGGGCTGTGGCATGTGATGAGAATGGTTCTTAAACTCATACAAATTATCATCATACACTGCATTGCTTATTAACTTACATTCTTTATATATTCAATTTCTTTTTTTTTAATCAAGATAATCTTCATGTCACTCCAGTCTCCCTCCACCCTTGAATGGATGTAATCTTCACTCTTTTAAAAACTGCTTGTGGAAATATGCTGGGTTTTTTTTTTCCTTATGAAAATTTTTCTCTTAAGACACTTCTCATATTCTACAAGCACTAAAGATATTTGAAAATTATGTTAAAGTAATAATTAACATTCCTGAATGTCTGTTGTTCAAAAGGTGATACTGATTGTCAAACATTAACTTTAATTCAACAGCTTCTCCAAGGAAGGTAGTTTACAGGTAGGGAAATTGACACGAGTTGGATACCTATCAGGTGAATAATTACACCAGTGTAAAGTGTTGATAGTGTTAAATGGTTGAGTCCAAAGTCTGGTCTTTAATCTCCCCAGCAGAGGCCACAAATGTAAACACATTACAGGTTTGCCAAGAAACATACATAAGTTAATCAGGTTTTGTGGGGACAGGAAAAATAGGAAAGCATATAAATGCACGAATGTAGCATTATGGATTCAGATTCAGATATTTACTGTCGTATGAAAATTCAGGCAAGAGATGATTCTGATCCAATATTTTATTTGAAATCTTACAATTTTTAACTTCTGCTAAAGAATTCCAAAAGAAGTTATAGCTGTGAGTCTCAAAGAAAACACATCTTCGTTCATGAGGGAGTCTGTAGGTCACCAATGTTTTACTTCTTTTAACCCATATATGTGGTCTTGGCCCTACTACTATTACATGATAAACCCATGAGGCTGAGATTTCTCCCCAGTCACTTTGGTAAGTAGTTCATCTCCCTGCAACTAATCTGCAAAATGAAACCAATAATGCCTGTATTCCTTTCCTAGGGCTGCTGTAACAAAATATCACAAACTGGGGGCTGAAAGCAGAAATGTATATTTTTATAGTTCTAGACTCTGAGAGTCTGAAACAAGGTGTGAGCAGGCCATGCTCTCTCTGCCAGCTTCTGGTTGTTGCTGGAAATCCATGAATTCCTTGATTTACTCTTTGAATAACTCCAATCTCTGCTTTCATGATCATATTGCTGTCTTCCTTACGTGTGTTTATGTTTTTATATGTTATTCTTTCTGTCTGTCTCTGTTCTTGAGCCTCTCTTCTTTTATAAGTATATTAGTCATAATGGGTGAAGGGTTCACTCTATTCTAATATAGCCTCATCTTAACTATTTACATTTACAAGGACTTTTTTCCAAATAAGGGAACATTCTAAGTTACTATGGGTTAGGACTTCAACTTATATACAGGTGTGGGCAAAAGTAGGTTTACAGTGGTATGTGTAACACAGTTCTCATTATATTAATGAGTATTATTATAAACGAAATGTCGTTTTTTTCATACAAACAACTATAAACCTACTTTTGCCTGCCTCTGTATTTTATGGAACACAATTTAACTCATAACAATGGCTCACCCCCAGGGCTGTTATAAAGCTGTTATTCTTTGGATTTATCTTCTCTGGGGTGCATTGTATTTCCTCATTCAATGGGCTCATATTTTTCTCAGTTCTGGAAAAATTTCTTGTGTATTGTTCTCTCTTTCATTTTCTCAATTATGACTTTCTGCAATTTTAATCAGATACATATTAGAACTTCTCATTATGTTCTTCATATCTCTAGACCCCTCTTTCAAATTTCCCTTCTCCTCATCTCTGTTTATTGCATTCTAGATAAATTGTTTAAAATATATTTCAGATTACTTATGCTATCACAAACTTTATATGTCTGCCTTTTAACCTAGCCACTATTAATTAAAACTGATATACTTCCATCATTAAATTTCTCTGATTATTCCTTACTATAAAGTAATTGCTTATTATTTTCCTTATTTGAACTCCTTATCCACTGCTATTCTATACTCTTATTTGATTAGTCCAACATTTGCTTATTGTTGGAGACATCAATTTGCAGTTTCTTGTTTCTTCTGTGTATTCTCATAGTGGCTTGCTTTTTAGTACGCCTATAAACTTCATTCCTTCTGCTTCTCCTGGCAGGTGACAGTCCAAATTCAAGATCTCATTAATCTCTCCTCAAAGATTTGGCACCAATGCCATTCTAATACCAGCCTTTCACCTCGCAGAGGTCCCTTAGGCCGGTATTTTTATAATACTGTTGACATAGAAATCTGCTGCACAGAGACTATAGCTCTCCTGGCTGCCAGCTAGTTTGCTGCTCCCCTCCAGCTCACAACCTCTGAAGCTTCTTCTCCAGCCACCCAAACTCCCAGGAGCTTCAATCACTTTTCTTGATCTCAATGCCCTGGCCACCCAGGGACCAGGTTCTGTTCATATAGAACCAGCAGTGCCCCAAAGTGCATGTCTTAATAAATTCACAATGTTCTGGTGCATGGATGGTCTTATACAGCTCCTGGTTATTCCTTACAATAGATTGAGACATTCAGCAGTGATATTCAAATAAAAAACAACTACGATTAGTTTTATGTATTTG